TTAAAACTATCTAATGGCTCACAATTGCGGTTTAGCCCTTTTCCTGATTGCCCTCGTCTTTGCCGCCTCAAACCCACTGGCCCACGGCCAGCAGTTGAATGTGACTGGCCTAACCGTAAGCGGCCGGCTCTGCTGCACGCCCACCGGAAACTGCCCCGGACAGGGTGTTCCCGGAGCTCTCGTTAGCCTCAACTGCACGAATTTCCTCGGTGGTGGGACCATCACAGTCGGTCAAACCAGAACAAGCATTAACGGGACATTTAACATTACTGTTCCTCGTTTGACCGGTCTTGATCTTCGAGGCTTCCCCAACATTTCGTGTGTTGCCAGTGTTAACCTCCCGCTCAACTCTGCAATTTGTCCCGTGCTTTCCACCGTTAACGGCACTCTTGTTGCCACACTTAGCCTTGTCGAGATACTTCTTTCAGAGACACTCGTTGTTGCGAGGTTACTCCCCGGCGTGTTCACCTTCCTATTCCTCTAGGGATATTAACTAATTGCCGTTGTTATAAACTTGCTAATATTCTTCTCCACTTAATTATTATCAACTCTCTCTCTCTCTCTAATGTATGGCGCCATGCTAGAATTATGTGTATCAAAAACATAGTATATATGTAATAAGTGTGTCTTTATATGAAATAAAATGGAGAAGAAATAAATAAAGTTCAGTATTACTCTTATAAGTTCAAGTTGCGTGGGTGACATATTTGATCATATGCATGCAAATTAACAATATCCAAAGTGGAAATATTTTTTCCACCTTGGGACCCGTATGCCTTAGTTATTATGGTATTATTTTTTGAAAAAAAAAATTAGTAAAAATTATTACTTTTATAATTTTTCATTATAGGAATAAAACTGCTTTGATATTATAGTTTGATATAATGAATGACGGAAAATGATGTGTAAGTTTAGTGATTATTGCTTTTAGTTAAAGTGATGTGATATGTAGCGTAAAAAATTATGATTTCCGTTTTGAATTCATACATTTGTATTTTGTTGGAACAAAAGTCACAAAATCGTAGTTACATGCTATCAGTAGCAGCTAAACCAATTCAAGTTAGACAAACAAGACCGTTTCTCCCTATGAAAAAAACGATGGCTACATATATATGAGGTTTTCTTCTTCGGGCTACATATATAGTAGATATAGCAGACATTATTTATAATTAATTAATGAGAATATAATGCAATGTTGGGCAGAATGTTTTCAGTTTTTATTAATTAGTGATATTTTTTTGCAATTATAATAAAATTGTGTCTTATTTTGCTATAGCCTCAAATTAATGGGCATATCATGTATTTTTTGACATTTAATTGATCTTTGAAATTTCAGACCATATTTCCGGCTTATTGGAATCCAAATTCAATGTGTAGTTATGTATGAAACTTTTATATATAACCTGTATAAATACGATTATTTTTAAGTGACGCAAATTTTTTTGTGTTGCTTTTGATCAATGCCAAGTATGAAAAACAAAAACAAAAATAAAAGATTGCAAATTTATGAACCTTCGTTAACATACCAAATGATCATGGATAAACATTCAAGCAAGGTCTTATACAAAATTCTTCCACATATCCACTAAATCTTCTCGTCTATCTTATCCTTAAAAAGTAGGCAAAAATTAAAGAACAGATGTGTATTACCTTTTTTTAAGAATTGAACTTGCGCGGGCCTAAGAAAAATTGGAACATTTTTTTGGTGTTAGACTGTGATGTTCAATTTCTGAATTTTGTATTCCAGCTCGTTGGATGATTGATACATGTATAAATACGACATCATCATGTACATTTAATAGTATAAAACATGAAAGTGGAGTAGGAAATCTCATTCTATTTTTTCTCCCTCAATTCTTTTCAATTTATTGTATAACATGTCACTATATCACCTAAATAATATTTCAGGCTAAAGTTTTCCTCAAATTGATGAAATATAAAATTTAAGAGACTATTATTGATTAATTGAATTCTAACACGACTACTTTTGAAACATATGTGAAGAAACAGGGGTTGATGGGTGCGGTCCCACGGATGAAAAGCACTATGAGGGAAAGACCATATGAAGTTTAAGTGAGGTTTCATCCCAAAATCAATTGGTGGTAGGAGGAGTAGCCCACTAGGTTTATAGGATTATTTTCCCTGTATAGACGATGTGAGACAACTCATAAGTGTATATCCTAACATCCCCCTTTCTTGTGAGTCCTTCGGAAGCCCAAGCCCAACTGGGCTGGGTGACGGGTACGTCATTGCACGGTCCCACATAGGCCCAAGCCCAACTGGGCTGGGTGAACCGGCTTTAATACCTTGACGAAACAGGGGTTGAAGGGTGCGGTCCCACGGACGAAGCACACCTGACAAGGGAAAGCCCATATGAAACTCAAGTGAGTTTTTATCCCAAAACCAATTGGTGGTAGGAGGAGCAACCCACTAGGCTTATAAATTAGGGCTACTTTCCCTGTATAAACGATGTGGGACAACTCGCAAGTGTATATTCTAACAATCTGCTCTCGAGACTACTTTTGAAATTCCATAAAAACTATGTGGATGTGAAGTGTCATCTAACGTGACAAGTAATTTTGAGCGACACGCGTAAAATTGCACTGAAAATTTTTAAAAGTTATTCGACTGTTATTGAATAATTGCATTCCAATAGGACTACTATTGAAACACCTCTATATTTATGAGGTGTTCAACCCGTTTCCTGTGATTCTACACACTATAGACCCATGTTCGATCTGTTTTTGGCGATTTTGTACTGTAATTTTGCCACATCAACAAATAATTCCTTAGAGCACCCACAATGCTTTGGGTTTCTTTTTGCATACGTGGCAAATAAATAGACTTAAGTCTATAATGACATGGACAAACTCAAGCTAAAAAAATCCAAAATCTATTCAATGCAAAAAAAAAGTATTAGGTGTAGAATACTTAACAACCAATAAAAATATAATAATAGTAATTGTTATTGTAAGGTTCACACTTGGGGTCCAAAATAGACCCAAGAGTGGACTTGGTTTCTTTTTTTTTATTGCCACATAAGCTAGACTAGGTTCATTTTTAATTGCATTGTGAAACACTTTTCTACATGATTTTTTTTAAAAAGATCCAAAGCATTGTGGGTGCTCTTAGAGAAGATTAGTGTACATTTTTATGTGGCGAATTTAGGGTGTCTTTTTCTAAAAAAGATAAATTAAAAAAGTATGATTTATAATGGATTGTAGACAAATCCTATAATAACGTTCCATTTCAGAATTATGGCCGTCATCTACTGTAGTAGGCCCCCAAATCCTAATTGTTACCCCCAAACTTACGAGCTGCACCTCATCCAATATCACCTCCATTATCAGATCAACTGCTGAATTATTTGCCTTTGTTTATGAAAATTAGGCAAAATTATGTGAGATTTTATTCCACTCTACATCTTTTTATCCAGTTGGACAACTTGATTTTTTAATCTTTTATTGTCAACTCTGCGTAACTATAATGTGAGCTAAACTATATTTAATTCCTCAAGTTATTACAATAATATGGGCCGATATTTGGAAAAACCATTATGGTCCACGAAAAAACGGCCCATTTGACTTTCAAAATAGTTGAAGAAACGGCCCATTATAGGCACATTTCTCCACATTCAAACACCACAAACTTTAACAAAGTGACTTTGCAACGTATATTTGTCACGGAGTGCGCTAATTGTAGTACGAACTGAAACAATAATTGTAAAAATGCGGAAGCAATCAACCAAAGATTAATAAACTCTTCGGGGAAGCATCCCACTTCCCCTCAGAGCTCTTTCATTGATAGATGATCACTCATGAACATAGTTTGGTCTTACAAAGACTTGAACTCCCTTCAAATCTAGCCAACACTACTCTCGATCCTATCAACTAATTCTCCGGCCACGTCCCGTGGACTTATAAACAACACTTACTCCCTAAGTGTATGATCCGTAAAATAGTTTTGATGAATGAGTAAAAACTAAATAAAAAGCAACTTCAGTCCTTGATTATGTAAGAACTCTCAGACTGAACTGGATACAACTCGGAATAGAACAGAAAAACCGAAGCTTGAATTGTTCTAAGAAAATATCTCTCTAAAACACACGCCCGCAGGAAGCTTCTTCCAGGGTATATATATGAACTCCTTTTAGGGTTGGAGTCTTCTACAAGGTATAGGACTTCAAACAAGATTTCCTTCCAAAAGGGTAGTGTATCTTTGGCAAGAAAATCTTCTACTCTCTCTCTTGATTTCCTCATCACCTACGGCTCTTCTCTTCCTCTTCTTTATCTCTTCACGTCCGATCTCCTATAGTATCCAAAGTCATAATAAGATCTTCACGGACTTATACATGGAATATAAAATAAGATTAATTAAGGAAATAGAATATGTGAAGATCTCCCCTTTGTTCTGTGGTTCCAGGTGCTTGTTCGAACTAACGAACTAATGCCAAAATAAAATATCTTTCAGACTTAAAACTAACTTAACTAAAATAGTAAAACTATCCCAAATGGCTTATAACCATGCTTTAGCCCTTTTTATAATTTCCCTCATCTTCGCCGCCTCGAATCCACCGGCCCATGGCCATATGGTCACTCTGAATGGCCTGATCGTAGGCGGCCAGCTCTGCTGCACGTCCACCGGAAACTGTCCTCGTCAGGTTGTTTCTGGTGCACTCATTAGTCTCAATTGCACGATTCTCGGTGTAACAACAACCGTGGGCCAAACCACGACCGACATTAATGGGTCATTCAACATTACTGTTCGGGCTTTGATCGGTCTTGTTTTGGGCCTTCCCAGTCCTCCGTGCATTGTTAGCGTTCGGCTTCCGCTCGACTCTATAGTTTGTCCCATGCTTTCCACTGTCGATGGGGCTCTTGTCTCCACCGTTCGGTCTGTTGGGACAATTGTCACATCGGCTTTTGGTTGAGGCTAGGAAGCATGAAAAGTGGTGAACAATGAGCTAAGAAAAATATACAAAATTTGAAGATAGGAATAACCAAACAAGTAATTCGTGATAAGCTCACAGCCGTGCGGAGGCTGAAAAGTGATGACATTTGATTGAGGTGTTGCCGACTATTAAACCATTATCGTCATTTTGCACAAAAATCATCCAAATTGATGTGTTTCTTATATCATGATGTGGCTGTGGAAAATGGTATTCAAGTTGTGTATTTCTTTTTTACACCACTAACTGTAAGTAGAGGTAAGTAGAGGTGTAAATGATCTGAGTCGAGCTCAAGCTAGTAGAAGTAAGTAGAGGTGTAAATGATCTGAGTCGAGTTCAAGCTTTTGATACTCAAGCTAAATTCATTAACAAAACTGTAAGTAGAACTGTAGAACGTGTAAATGATGTGACTCGAACTCAGTTCAACAACTAAACGAATTCCAAACAAGTCAGTCTAGCTCACAAGCAGCGTTTCGCCTACCACCTCTCCATTTGGTTCTGGAGACTGTTAATTCTTTAATTTTGGGCTCTATTAACGATTAGAAAACGAAGACTTGCCGCCCAAGTGACGACCGCATTGGAAAGCATAACATGCATCGAGTGTAAAATATATTGAAATTGGAGAACATGACATGAGTTGAAAGTGATTGTTTTTACCAGAACCAAAATATTAGATGACAATTAAAGGAGTCATAGAATTTCATAATCCAGGCCATTACATTAATAAATACTCAAAAGGACTGTAAAATCCATGAAAAAAAAAGGTAAAAAACACAAACCCCACAAAAGAGCAAAAATAGCCAAATAAAAGGGAAAAAAAAAAAATCCATTCCAATAGCCCGAACCCCCTTTCATCCATTCCTTTCCATGTCCACACCTCACTTGGCCATCATGACCTTAACAAACTCCTCATAGTTGATCTGGCCATCCCCATCCACGTCAGCCTCCCGAATCATCTCGTCAACCTCCTCGTCAGTCAACTTCTCGCCAAGGTTCGTCATCACGTGACGAAGCTCGGCTGCCGAGATGAACCCGTTTTGGTCCTTGTCAAATACACGAAAGGCCTCCTTAAGCTCCTCCTCAGAGTCCGTGTCCTTCATCTTGCGGGCCATTAGGTTAAGGAATTCGGGGAAATCGATGGTCCCGTTGCCATCGGCATCGACCTCGTTGATCATGTCCTGGAGCTCGGCTTCGGTAGGGTTCTGGCCGAGGGATCTCATTACAGTTCCAAGCTCCTTGGTCGTGATGCAGCCTGCAAGCATAGAAAAAATGGGTAGGGTTAGGTGGGTTTGAAGATTAGTTTTCGGAATCCCAAATCACAAACTATATACTTCATTTGGTATGATAAGACGGGTTTGGCCGGTCTGCAGATTAGTTTTCGAAAATCCCAAATCACAAACTATATACTTCATTTGGTATGATAAGATGGGTTTGTTGTTTGCAGATCAGTTTTTAGAATCCCAAATCACAAACTATAATATACTTCATTTGGTATGATAAGACGGGCTTGGCGGGTTTGCAGATTAGTTTTCGGAATCCCAGATCACAAACTATATACTTCATTTGGTATGATGAAGACGGGTTTGGCTGTTTGCAAATCAGTTTTCAGAAACCTAAATCAAAAACCCATACTTCAATGGGTATTCTAACTTTCATTCAAATACATTGATAAATACAGATATCCCATGTTAGTTTTCAGAATTCCAAATCAAATTCATGCTTCATTTGGCTTTAGACTTACATTCGAATACATTGATAAAATGCAGGCATTCCACATTCCATGTAAGCGCAATAAATAAAAATGCATTTGAATCGAGACGTAGATCTAGTTTGGAGACAGACGGATCCAAGAGTTCGGTCATAATCCAATCAAACTACAAAATCTAGAAGGATCTTGTTTTGTATATCCAACATAATTCCTAATTAGTTTGTTCCCCACATATAAGCACACAAATCATACCCCACTTATTAGCCAAATGTTAGAACCACAAATGCCGTTTCCCACAGACCGATTTCCATAATCTGCAAACAAATTCAAGACTGTGGGGACTTAAATTATGGGACTCAAGCCGAAAAAAATAAATCTCTCCTTTTTTTTAAGAAAGCAATTTGTGATCCTTACTCAGAGAACTACAATCATGGATATTCCACACAGCCAAATTGATATTAGGTTTCGATTACACTTGGCAAAGACCTCGTATATTCAAATACTGACTCATAATTCGATGGGCTTAAATCAATAAAACACAATTCTTCCAGCAATTATTCAGCTCATTGAATTAACAGCACTATAAGAACAAAATCAAACAAATCGCCTCTGCTACCGCAAAACCCCCAATTAGATTCGATTGGATTCAACCAGATCTGACGAAGAACAGAATCATACACATCCAAAGCACAACAAACACGCACAAACACATAATCAAACGCCAAAAATAGGACCAACTCAAAATCATGAAAAGGTAATTAGAAACGGCAAAAGAACAGAAATCGAACCATCCCCATCCTTGTCGAACAGGCTGAAAGCTTCCTTAAACTCAGAGATCTGGTCGTCAGTAAGCTGATCCGCCATTTCTCCTTGTGTTGAAAGCTTGAGAAAACGATATGGAATGAGAAAAAATGAAAGGGAGATCGATTTTCAGGGGGAGCTTGATGGGGTCGTGTTTGTAGGATGCCAAAAAACAGAGGTATTTATCAGCAAAATGGAAAAAAAATATTCAATGGCAAATAGAGATTTTAATACCATGTCCCAACCATTATATTCCGCTAATTTCGTGTTTTTTACTCTTTTTTTTCATTTAATTATACTTTTATTTTAATAATATTTTTTTCTTTAGTGAAAAAACTGCTTTTTTCATTAAACTCCAATAAATTATATTCTAATTAGGCCTATAAACGAGTCGAGCTGAGCTCGAGCTCGAGCTCGAGTTGAGCCTTTAACGAGCCCAGCCAAATTCGGCTCGTTAAATAAACGAACCTGAAATCGAGCTCGAACTCGGCTCGTTTATCACTAATAATGAGCCGTATTCGAGTCTTAACAATCTAAACTATAGCTCTATTACTTGCTCCTAAATTAAATGTTATGTTCACATATCATATATTTTTGATCTCACTAAAAATAGCTTTGTTGAACTTTGTAAGCTAGTCAAAAATAAATGTTTTGTGCACATATCATATAATTTTTGAATTTTGTGGGCCTGAAAAAATTAGATATGATTGATTGTGGATTAAAACAACTAATTGGAATTAGGAGAAAGAAAATAAATAGACTTGGACGATTTAAATGGAAATCGTGGCTACGCAGTTTGTACGCGGTACCTTCCTCATCAGGTTCTCCTTTCACGTCAGCAGCCACATTAGACTTTTGGGTCTCGCCAAATAGGGTTGGTACAGTAGATTATCACAAATTATTGTATTCTGTTATAAATTTTTGTATGAATTAGCCTATGAATTATGAAAGTCAGAATTATTATACTTATTTTTAACAAAAACCAACGAATATGTTATGAAATGTCAAATCTTGTTGCCATAATGTAAATTGGGGAGTTTAACTCAAACTTTTTTATGAAATAATATAAATAAGCCACATAAACCGCCCAAGCTTTTGCCAAACACATTCTAGTGTGCGACAACTTCCTCGGAACACCACTCATACTAAGTGAGCAAAAATAAATTCTTATATTACTTAATCGAGATACTCGTCTAAAGTACAACATTTTCTAATAAAAGTTATATTCGTGAATAAAATATATCGTGGCACAATTAAGTTTTGCCAAATTGAGTTACAATCCATATAAGTTCATTTGCCAACCTGCTTACCTGAGGAGGAACCCCAAATGACAAGACTTTTATACCAAAGATTAGTCAGACAGAAGGACTCACAACAAGGCTAAAAGAACTAGATTTAGGTTGTGTTTTATAAGCACTTAGACTAACTTTTAGCTTATTTGATTAGCTTTTAAATTTCTTGTATTCAAATTATTTTAGTTTGATAGAACGAATAAAAAGTTTAAGTTTATCTCATAAGCTTCTTTATATAGTTTTTCAAATAAATTCATTGAAATTTTCATTTCAGTTAATTTATCAACTAATATTACCAAACATTTTTATCATATAAGCTAGTTTTTTAACCATAAGTCATAAGTTATCCTTATAAGCTCGAAATGAGTCCTACCACAAATGATATAACTGCATTGATGAACCTGATCCCCAAACTATCCTAAGACAAAAAAGTTGATTAGATGTAAGAAGACACCACATAATCTTCAAGATTTCCCAATTTAACAAGACCCTTTATCTTTCTTCTATCCTTCTTTGGGTAAATGTCAAGCTTGGCGCAATAACCGAGTAGTACTATCTACTAAATATCAGTAAACCGTACTCCCCAAAAACCAACCCTTGAGAGATACTATTTAGTATTTACCCTTTAGTTTCCTTATATTCACATATCACATTCATAACACGTCTTGATTTCTGAGACCACTTTGTGATTTCTTCATCAAAGATAAACCAATTCATTAAGAAAGAAGTTCTATCCACCCTAGTATATACTATATATCCACAACATTTATGACGTCACACTAATCCTCAACCATTAATTTCCCCAAAAATAGAACTTTTTCAAATACATAATTCGCCCAATTTGATAAACTCTCATTGGACAAGATATTACTTTCAACATCAGAGAAGCCATCGTTTTAACTGTTATTGAGTTTGTCAAAGGCTTACAAGAGACCAAAAAAATCATTTTAATTTACATCAGGTTTAAAGCTACAAGACGATTATTGAGTTTGTCAAAGGCTTTCTTTTTTGTTTTTGTTTTTCTTTTTCTTGTTTTTTTTTTCTTGTTTGTTTTTTGTTTTCTGTTTTTTGTTTTTGTTTTTTTTTTGNTTGAACTTGGCAGGACATAGACCGAGGGTCAGCAACCGGTGTGCAGTCGAGGAGGACGAGACTCTCTTGGTGATCATTGAGAGACGCCACACCCCCATATTGTCGTAGTTGAGAGAAAGGCAAGGGCTCCAAGTCCTTAAACTGCCTAGCCCTTGGGTCGTGTGCAGATAAGCCACTACTGTCATCATCTGGCCACCTGTCCATGATCAACTCCCCATTCTTCAAAACACACACAAACTCAGTCGGCCGGCTCATTGGGTCCTTGACTGTGTACATTTTCTTCCAGCCGCCGGCGGCTATCTGCACCCAAATGGTCCAAGAGCTGTTCCAGTTGGAGGCGAGTCCCACAAGCAACGAGTCCCCCAGTACAGTAACCCGGGGAAAACTAAACGCGACAGGATCCTGTGGCGGTAAGGCCACCTCTTCAAAAACCTCTTCCGCCACGTCGAACGAGTAAAGGCTGTAGCTGCTACAATATGGTCCCATCTCATAATCTGCCATACAGAGGAGCCAGTGCATCTTGCCTCCCACGAAAGCGCCCGTGCTACGAAATGTTTTGCTGTCGGGGCACTGGTGCACAAGCAAATTACCTCTGCGCCACGCGTTTGAGTTCAACGAATAGACGTTGAACTCTGCAGGGAGTGTAAGGACCACGATTTTGTAGTCGTCTGTGGTGGGGTCGTATCCAAACTCCATGGACGATTCATCTGGTTTGGAATTGGTCAAGGTGAGGTCCGGTAGGTAGACGTGCCTGCGGATGGTAGGGTTCCATAGCATGATGGATATGACGGCTTGCACATCTGAGGCACGCGTTGGGGACAGAGATTCGCATATCAAGCCGTTGATGGAGCCGACTATGTGGGGAGAGGTGAAGCGTGGGTATTCGAAAGGGAAATCGAGAGGCCCCAACCAGGAAGAGTCGGCAGGGCGATGGTGATCGTTGTCAAGCAACAGGTACCACTCTACTACAGGCTCGTGAGGGCCCCGGAGTTGAGGGTATTTTGTGGTGAGCAACACTTTGGAGGAGTGGCGCTTTGAGGAGAGGTGCAAGGACCTGAATTCGGGGCTGCCTATCATCGACTTCCACGATTTGCATACGCTCCGAAGACGGAGCAAAGCTTTTACGGGCAGTCTCGTCAGGATTTCAACCAACACATCTTCCCCCAGGTACGGACAGGCTTCCATAACTTTTTTCTTTTTCTTTTTTGTGTGCGCGCTTCTTGCCCATTATATAGAGATGTATACAAATAATAAATATAGTCCTAGTCGGTATAGGAAATATAATAGGGTTTTTATTTCTTTTTTTTTTAAAATATATTTATCATTTAAGTAAGTTTACTATTTTATAATTTTAAAATACCCGATAAATATGGTTGAATGTTTAGATCTACTAATATAAACCAATAAAAATTGACAAGATTGGGTTATATAAAAAGTAAATAAAAATATATTAAATTTTATTTTTGTATTAAAAATATTATGTAAATATATAAAAAAATAAAATAAAATTATATTAAATTAATGTTCGCAAACATAATCGAACGTTCACGAACAAGCTCATGTTCGTTCGATTATTAAACGAGCATAATTTTCTGTTCGAACTCGGCTCGATTAACAAACGAACGAACTTCTGTTCGCGAATGTTCGATTCGTTTACAGCTCTAATGGCTACTAACTGTTTTGCACAAAAATATAAGAAATGCCAATATGGCCAAACTAGAGTTTTTAACCATAAATTGCCAAATTAAATTTGATTAAACATAAGTCTCATCAAATTGGGCTTTAAAAGATAAGGAATGGGCTACCTAACTATTCGTACTGGTGGATTGATAGTCACATAGCTCCATAGCGGACGCAATGCAAGCTGGCCCATGGGTCGGTCTAAAAAAAGGACCAAAATGGGTTATGAAATAGTTGGCGCCAAATTGTCATGAATAATTTAATTAGTGTGTACGTAAACAAACATGTCACACTTTGGGGTATGATTTGATTGGCTATTCATAGTATTTTATGATTCCAAGGCCTCTTTAGTTTTCGTAGCAATTTGCTTTTTGATATAAATAATTGAAATATATACTAGTATTAGTTATGTAAACTTCCCTCCTCATCAAATTTGTACTATTATTTAATTTTTAGAAAAAGATAATAATTAAACGTTCAAATTCTCTCAACAATTGGTATCATTTTTCTTAGCAGGAACATATTTCCTAAAAATTAATGCATCAAAATGCACTTAATGATAAAATGTTATGGCATTGGTTATCATTGAAAAGAATGGTTTGATATTATCTGAGATATAATTTCATGATAATTTTTTTTCTCTATTTGTCATACTTCATTTTTGCCAATAACTAGTTTTTATTTATTATTTCATTTCATATATCAAAATTAATTATCCTTTTCCAAACATAACTAGTTTCTATTTATTTATTTAAATATTTATTTATTTCATTCATCTATAAAAAATAATTATCATTTTTCCAATCTTCACAATCTTTATGACTTGTTTGATAACAATAACTAATACTTAGTTTGTGTGGAGTTAGTTTTAAGTATAAAAATAGTGAATTCATTGGGGAGATAAGTTGTAATTACAATGGTGTGTTTGGGAAATCTAGATGAATGTTAGCTATTAGTTTCCCATAAGTTAACTAATATCAAATAAGTTAATTTTGAGTTAATTAGTTGATAGTTTAAAATTGATGAATGAAAAACTAGCTGATATATAATATTTTTTGGTAAATTGAGTTGTTAGCTCGTATAGCACCATGTGAGATAAATTTGAGTTTTTTTTTCTTTAATCCGTCATATCAAACCACAGTTTTGCTATGGAGTCATTGGATGACACGACTTATGAAGTCATCAACATTTATTCACAAATAGTGTGTTGACATGTGTCCTACAATAAATACACTTTAGACATGTGTCAGTACATTAAATGATTGATGACTCCATAAAAAAACTATCTGATGACTCCATAAAATTTATGTATCAAACCGTATCAAACCGTACCTTTTTTAGTACATCAAACTTATTATCTAACTAAGTCTAACTTATATGTTTACACACTCCAAATATGTGATGGAAAATAAGAAATGGCGTAGCTAGGAACCACTACAATGCAAGGAAAACAAAATATTATACTATTTCTTATTAATTACCCTAATTAAATTTGCAAACAAAAATAAAAGCAAGAATAATTTTGGAGTGAAAAGAATAAATGTGTTTTTCCTACTCAATATATCTTCTCTCATTATTCATGTGAAAAGTTATTATAAGGCAAAAACATAACTGTTATTTCTTCTTCACACCTTCAGCCCCCCAGTCACTCTCTCTCTCTACCCACAAAAATTAAAAAAATGCTCAAGAGACAAGATAGCTCGCTCTCCTCCTCCTCCCGCCGTCAATTCGTCGCTACCACGCCGCCGCCACCGGAAACTCACGATGTAAAATCCGTCGGATGCATGTCCGGCATCTTCAAGCTCTTCTCCAAGTACCAAAATCCCAACAAACGCATCACATTCGGTTAGAAACTCAATTAATCAAATTCGTCACCAATCTCACGTTTTCACTTTTCAGTTACGATTTCAATTTTTGATGCGTCGATAATTGCAGGTCGGAAACAGGTTAAATTGAAGCCGCCGTCGCCAGCGAAAAGCAGAAAACCGCCACCGCCAGCGGCGAAGGAGGACGAAATCGAAGAGAAATCGCTCGATTTACGGAGCCCCACGCTCCCGCCGGAGATCCGCCGGCAGCAGGAGAGTATTCCGCGGACGCCGCCGTCCCCGTCGCTGGTGGCGCGGCTCATGGGGCTGGAGGATCTCGGCGCCGCCGCAGATAAGCCGGAGGCGGCGGAGGGGGAAGGGGAGAATCGCGTCACGGAGAAGAGGCGGCGGCTGCTGCTGGCTCTGGAGAAGTGCAACGAGGATCTGGAGGCGCTGAAGAAGATCATCCGGACGGTGCAGGCGGGGGACGCGCGCGTTCCGAAGACCGACGGCCGAAGTGCGGTGGACGAGGAGAAGAATATTCCGGCGGTGGCGGTGGAGGAGAAGGAACTAACTCGCTCGCCACTCAATAGTGTCTCTGTAGAACAGAATTCTGCTGCAGGTTAGTCCGTATTTTCTTCGGTTTCTTTTTGCTTTTTTCGCTTTTTTCAGAAAAGTTATTTTATTAGTTAAGAATGAATTAATTCGAATTAATTAGTCAATTAAGGCGAGTTTATAGTTAGCTTCTCAACTAAAGTTTCAGTGAAATATAATATTCCTCATATTTTTATTTATTTTTATTATTTATCGTTTTGAGAAACATCACGATAATTAAGAATTTCTTTTCTTGTCAATATTAACCCTATTTAATGGATATTATGGGAAACAATGAAGATGGAATATGAAGAGACACTGTGTATTATATGGAGGGTTAAAAATAGAAAAATATGAGCAAAATAGCTAAAACGACATTTATTTAATTAATGATCAATTAAGCCAGAATGATAAATAATAAAAATAGGAGGAAATAATATAAAACATTTTTTTTATTGAATGAAAAGGAAAATAATGAGACAACGTGTAAATAAGTGGAGCTTGAGTAGTACTCGTTCATGGCTCGAGCCTTATCGAGGGTATAAACGAGCTCGAGCTCCACTAGTTTATCAATGCGAGTTGACGTCAACGAGCCAAATTATACAAAAATTTAAAAAAAATTAAAATTATATTTTTCAACCCTTAAATTCGGCTCATGAACTAAATAAGCTTTAATCGGACTAAATAAAATCCATAAAACTATCAATTCGACACATTCATAAATATTGAATAAAATCCCCACAAGTATCAATTCATCACATTCACAAATATAGTAATAGGAATGAAGTTTTCGATATANTCACACATATATGTTTGGATAGCCATTATTGCAATTTAATATAATGTAATGGTACGTGGAATAGAAGCCAGAAGTGGAGACAAAAAATCATGAAGGCGTGCGCAATTTCATTTTATTATACATATATAAATGACATACAAAGTATTTCTCATTTTCCTTGCTGTAAAAATGTCACGCCTTCTGGAGATCAAATGATTAGTAGTAATTACTAATATATAATTACTAAAATGATAATTGAATTAAATTACCGCCGTTACCTTAGAACTGAAGTACTATATTTTCATTGCCAATTGATTAATTAGTCAAAACTAATAATTTAGAATGCCACCCAAATCCTCTAGGGAAAATGGGAAACATGCTATACCACAATTTTCTTTGCAATAAGTTTGTAGTATGGCTTGTATTGTGTGATACTTAGATGAAATATCTTGACAATCTCATGTAGCAACTAGCAATAGGGCAAAGTAGAAAAAGATATGCTATTGAGGGTGATACCGAACAAAATTAGGTTTTCTAATATTCCAAAAAACACTAGGCTACAACAAGTTTGGGTCTAGCGCTTAGGCAGAATATAGACGGAACCTTAATGGCATGATTAGTATGATGGAATGGAATTTCGTAAGAATGGAATGTGTTGAAGAATGGAATGATTATGGGAATGGAATGAAACATGTTTTGTCATTGATGCGTTTGGTATGCAGAATGAATAAGACTGGAATTGGATGACATTATCATTTTTTATTATAAAAATAAATAAAAGCTTTTTTTAAAAATAATATACTTTTAATAGATTACATATAAATGTTTTTTTTAATAATATATAAAAATAAAATAATATATTTTTAATAATATATAAAAATAAAATAATATATTTTTAAATTATATATAGAAAGTAATATATTCTTAAAAGTAATATATTTTTAATATATAAAAAATAATATATTTTTAATAATATTTAAAAATAAAAGTAATATATTTTTAATAATATCTATTTTATTTTTTAATTAAATAGTAAATAAAAGTAAGTTTTCAATTTTTTATTTGAATTTTATTTTTTAAAATAATATATTTTTAATAATATTTAAAAATAAAATAATATATTTTTAATATTTTTCAATAATATATTTTTAATAATATATTTTTAAAAGTAATATATTTTTAATATATAAAAAATAATATATTTTTAATAATATATAAAAATAAAATAATATATTTTTAAATTATATATAAATGCTTTTTTTAGTTTTATTTTATATAAGTATTTAATATACTAATTAAAAATAAATAGAAGGAAGTTTTCAATTTTTCTATTTGAATTTTTTTTAAAATAATTTTATTTAATTTTATTTTTTGAAAAATTGATTTCTACACACATGAGAATGAGAAAACCTTTCATTTATAATGGAATGGCTAATCCCATGGAGATGGGTTTTATCATTGCCATTGGAATGATCGTTCCTTCCCAAAAAAATATACCAATCATGGGATAAGGAATGAGTAAGGGAATGATCATTCCATTCCCATGTCATTCCTTCCTACCAATCATGCCATAAAAGTATTAATATATTATATAAAATAAATAAATTAATAGGGTTAAGTACAAAATTTTTTTGAAAACATATTATATTTATAGCTATAATTATATTTTAAAATGATATTATATTTATAGTTATGCTTAACAAGATCAACACATATACTATATATACACATTATTTTTTTATTTTTTTTAAAAAAAGTGAGATCCTAGCAATGGTAATGATCAATTGCAGTCAAGGAGATCAAAAGTGACAAAGAACAAAGAAAAGTGAAGCAAAATGAATATGTGTGGGCTGCAGCCACAACATCATTCTTTTACAAGAGCTTTTGCTTTTTACAATGACACACCACTAGTTTCGGTTTAATTCTTCTGGGTCCACCCCCTCCACTCTCACATATTTGCCTTTTTGTCCTTTCTAAAATTTATTAAAACAATCTATCCAACGGTAACTTGTTTCATCTAATTATTGTGTCATGTTCTCAATGGGGAATTAGGAGGTTAATAATTAATCATCATTAGAATTAATTCCACTCAATTGTCATGAAATTTCTACCTAATGTAGAAGTGAACTATGGATAAATTGTTACTTTATCATCAACCATAAATTGTTAAGACCAATTGAAAAAAAAAAAATCAAATATTTTGTTAATCAAATATTCTATATAGGTGCAACTCGTGTTTCACACTTGCGTAAGACCACACCAGGAAAAAAGCCAGGGGAAAACGACGAGCCGATTGCTAAACTTCTAAACAAGTCCTCGATTATCGAGTCTTCATTACGTCTGAGGCGACAAGCCTCGGCAGCCATAGCACCGCCATGGTGCAGTCGAGCCATGGTCAAAAGTGTGGAAGAAGTGTGTGGAGACATTGTGTGGGGCCAAAAGAGAGAGATAGAGAGAATAGGGTTAGTTTTGCAAGACCACTTATGTAGGGAATTGGTTGAGGAGCTTGCTATAGAGTTGAAATCTTGCAATATCTATGCATTGCCATTTGATTCATGCAAGAGGAAGCTTTGTTTCTAAAGTTCAAAAATAGTATGTGTTGTATTATTGTGAATACAAATTGCCATTTTAGGTAGGCTTGTGTTTTCTTTTGCACCAAGAAAGATGTGTGAAATGGGTTGTCTATTTTGTATTGGTTGTTTGTTTTTGAATCATTTATTTACTTTAAAAGCTCCTGGTGTATGCTTTGGAACGAGAGATTCCATTTGTATTGGGCCTTGTCTATTGGGCTCATGGGAGGAAAGGAAATAGGCCGTTCAATCCAATTGGCCTGACATGAGATAGTGATTTGTTAGGCTATGGGATGGATCTCGGCCCCTAACACGGTTGCTCGACTATTTTCAGCTGACAATATTAAGACTTGGTCTAATGAAACAGAACCGGTCCGGCCCATTATCACTACGCAGGATCCAATAGTGATATTCAAAGTCTTGTGTTTGAACTTAGGCTAGTTAACCATTTCACTTCAAGTCTAAAAGAAAAGTTTATCAAGTGGAATAGTGGCCCAATATAAAACTTCGGCCCATAACCTTCTCTGGGGGTTATTAGATGAAGTGAAGTCGAACCCTCACTCGTAACATCCATCCACTACTAACTCACATGCTCCACCTTTTTTTTTTTTTTTTTTTTTTATTTTTCAAACGACAGATTTCATAAATAAACACGTAATTGCAATCGGCTAACTAGTTGAATGAGGAAAATTTACTGTCGTGTACCCGATTATGGAGATGAGTCGAGTAACGTGAAATGAAGGCCTCTGCTTTGTATATATCTAGACCTAGTTAATATTATGTTACTTTGGATTTATTAGTAGTTATAATTTGGGCTTTGTTATTAGTAGATGTAATTGGGCATATCATGAGATATAGTAGTTGCTAAGTGGGTTGGTGTTATTAGGCTTAATTGGGGACCCACGAGTAGTTATTAAAGGCTTTGACTTATTTTGTTTTATATCTTTTAATTCAAAATCAAACTCAATTATCATTTGTTCAATATTATCAATATAATAAAATAATATTAATCAATTATCATCACACATCACGTTAATTTTAATTTACTACTATTTATTAACACATCTATTGTAATTTACTATTCATTAACATCTCTCTTACTTTTATGTCACGTCAATTTTTATTATTATATTTTGAACATTATTTAATTACAAATTCAAAATTTCACTCATCATTTATATAATAAACTTTATTCAAATTATCTCACTCTAAATTCAATAAAAACTGATTGGATTCACATCCAATCGCCTCTAGTTACACAATAGTGTCGCCACGAAAAAGAAAAATAAAAATAAAAATGACTCACTGTATTGGGAATAATATTTTTGCATGTCCTT